TTTATACCCTCCATGCAATAAAGGGGCAGGACACGTATGCCTGAAGTGTTTACTCCTGTTAGAATGCAGGCCCACACATGTATACAGATATGTGTTTTCATAGACTTTATGAAGTCTACACAGCATTGAATGACCCTGTCTTTGCTCTGTGGCATAACATGATACAGTAAAGGGACAGAAAGTGGCAGGCCAGTGCATCACACTGTTTGAAGTTCATTCCGCTCTTATAGGGAGAATATATTTTTAAACTCTACTTGACCTTAAGAGATAAGCTAGAAAAGCATGTCTGCTCTGACCTCTAATGTTCCAACACCAGTTACTGTGTGCCCTTGTCACTCATCTTAATATAAGACACCTCAGGCAGGAAATTGCAGTGTTTTCAGACCATACTAGAGTGTAACAGGGAAGAAAGTGATGAAAAAAGAAAAAAGGTGGGGGAGAGGGAGGGGGGCCGGCGGTGAGGGAGGAGAAAGGGGAAAAAAAGGCCGAGTCTTTAGTACTAACAAATGTATTGTGTAACATTTTTTGCTTCTCTGTCTGATAAAACTTGCTGTTTTCTTATTGCTAAACTGGAGGAGATCCAGGACTTAGTCAAACATCTGTAAATAATATTTTCAACATCACCTTCCACATAGGCATGCACATTTAGCTCTTACTGTATTGTTTTGTGGACCAAACAAACTTCATATCAGAAAAGAAGACATCTTCTTGATTATGATGGTTTTGGAGAAAGTGTTCAAATTGTGTGATATTTTAATTCCTTTATTAAGGGACACTTATAGTAATTATTCTAAGCTAATTTAAATAATTCTGAAGGAACATTACAAGTATTGTAATGTTCTTTTGCAAGTATTGTTTAAATGGCACTTTTGCAGTTTTTCTGATATAGAAACTTTGCATTCAGTTCTTGATGGCAAAGGATTTAAAAGAGGACATAGTTTTACAAAAACGATTATTTAAAATGGTATGGTTTTTGGAGAGGTTAAAAGTGGCGACTTCCTTCTTTATGCACTATTTGCAATTTATTTTTGCTTCTTTGTAAATCAACAAAATGTTGTTAATCTGACTGTTTCTCATTCTACAGATCTTTAAGAAAGCAACCATGAAAGCACTGAGAAGAAAGTCTGTTTTGCTCACGGGTTACCTGGAATACCTGATCAAGCACTACTATGGCAAAGAGAAAGCAGAAACCAAGACACCAGTGGTGAACATAATCACTCCATCCTGTATAGAGGAACGCGGCTGCCAGCTAACATTAACATTTTCCGTTCCAATGCAATCTATCTATCAAGAACTAGAAAAAAGAGGAGTGGTTGTAAGTATATCTCTTGCTTTGCTACCCAGTTTTCTCTAGGGGTTGCAGGTTAGGGGGAAAATTTGGATTCTTTAGTTTATTCTTTCACTGGTGCATGTAATTTCACATCAATCAGTGAGTTCCTGGGGATAAATTAAGTGCCAACTAAGTCAGTATTTGGGACTTGCTAATTAAAGGGCACAGAGATCTGTCATTTCTGATAAAAAAGAAGACACCACAAATTTTGGATACAAAGTACAGTTTTATGTAATTTATTCACTTTTATTACAGTTTGAGCAGGAAATATTGTTTCATCATAATTAGGACACATTCTCACTAGTTTTTACAAGTAAAAGCCCCAATACATATTTATTGGATACATAGAATTAAAGAACATACTACTATAATGGAGGAGAGAAAAATAAGTCAATCTTATTTTGTTGTTTGATTAAACTAAGTTATTTTCAAGCTTGTCACTTAAGTCATAAAAGATATATAGGCACATATGAGGAGTGTTAACATTGTATGAAATAATTTTTTTAACCATTGGGCCAAAGTGGCCTTCTTAGTCTCTTGAAAGGAACTAATAGGTGTTAAGAGAATAATTTCACAGGAAAGTGGTGATAATGCAATCTAGGGACTCCTCCACTCGCGTGGCCCTCCAGACCTTTAGAAGAAGTCACCATCGCAAACTCTGGAGGCACCAATCAGAATATCACCCCTGCAAATCAATATGACCAAGACATGTGCTCTTGGGAAAGTTAACATGTATCAGCCCGAGATTCGCCTCTGTTTTGGGGTGCAAATGTATACTTACTTCAAAAAGTTGGTATGGGAATGAAATGGACCAACACACATGAACCATTTACTATGCTGTCTGGCCTATAGTGGGTATCCTATATAATAAAAGACTAGTATGCAAATTGACTAAGCAGCAAATTGACCAAGAGGCAGAACGACCGATCACTATGACGTGCACTGACCACCAGGGGGCAGATGCTCAATGTAGGAGCTGTCCCCTGGTGGCCAGTGCTCTCCCATAGGGGGAGCGCCACTCAGCCAGAAGCCGGACTCACGGCTGGCAAGGCAGCGGTGGTGGCAGGAGCCTCTCCTGCCTCCGTGGCAATGTTAAGGATGTCCCACTGATAGCTGAGCAGGCCTAAGCCATCAGTCAGACATCCCCCAAAGGGTCCTAGACCACAAGAGGGCGCAGGCCGGGCTGAGGGTCTCCCCCCACTTTGAGTGCACGAATTTCGTGTACTGGGCCTCTAGTTTCTTAATATAGTTCTAGTGAACTTCAGGTGAGGTCAAATTGACTGGGCCCATTTCATAACATTTCGGTATTCCCAGTGTAAACCCAAACTAATTTTAGACTGTAATAAATAACAAAAAGACTTATTTGAGCAAAAGGAGATACAGCCTGAGAACACAGGTTTAGATAGCAACCTAAATCGTATTCAACCACCCTGGACAAAGGGGAAGCCAACTTTTATAGTGAAAGTTCTTACCCAGGTTTCCAATTATGTCCATTTTATGTAAATGAGGTATCCAATTGTGCAGTTGTGATTGTTCAGTATAGGTAAAATAAAGATAAAAATTGAGCCATTCTGATTGGATGGGGCAGACCTCAGTCTGTTGGTAGAAAGATGAAACCATGGTTCCCCCACAGTTGTTGACTCAGATGGTATAAACAAACTGTGAGAAGCCAAAAGTTCAATTTGAGGTTTTTCTCCGTGTACAGAGTATGTGAGGAGCCCCTGTCAGCTAATGACACTAGACTGTAATTCATAATATTTGGGCCCTTGGTTGACCATGGGGCAGATAAATTCTTTCTCTGGGTTCAGGTCAAATGAATCATTCTTCTTGAGGCGTACGTCAGGAATATAGCCAACTGCTTACCTGCAAGATTAGGGCTTAGAGAATTAAACGTAAGGATAATTGACTAGAACTTGCCAGGGCCGTGTGAGGTTCTCATTCATGTAAATGTGTCCAAGATTCCCAGCTTTCCAGTGTCTCCCACAGACGAATCATACATACGCTCTCTTATATGCTTAAAAATATGACCTAAATGGACTTCAGAAAAGTGCTTTTGGATATTCACGTAACAGCCCATTAATGGTTTAATTATAATTAAGAAGAGAGTTTCACATAGCATAGAAACTTTATATTTTAATTAAAGTGAACAATTGCTTATATAGTAAGTTTTAGGGAAATCAGTATGACTATTTCATGTAAGTTCATCTCGAACGCAGATTTTCATTATGAGAATAATGCTGACACTATTGTGGCCTTATTTTCCCCCAACAGTGTGACAAGCGGGAACCCAATGGCATCCGAGTGGCTCCAGTTCCTCTCTACAATTCTTTCCACGATGTTTATAAATTTATCAATCTGCTCAATTCTGCACTTGAGGCTGCAGAAAGAAAACATAACAGTGTTTAGAACAAATTAAGCAAACTGAAAGCTGCTGTGATTATTTTATGATTTTTATTCAAGTTTTAATCATTAGAAATGTTAAAAAACTAATTACACCTAACTGGCAATGAATTGCATACTTTACAAAAAAATCTGGGATAATTCTTTCAGGAGTCAATGTTCCTGAGGAATCTAAATGTCTATCCAATTTCTTGGTGTTTTATGAATCAAGGTTTTCATTGGTCTAAGTATTATGTACAGAGTCTTGGTTAGCTGTTACAGTTCATGGCCAGTGAAATATTGTTACTGGTTTAATTTCTCATTGACTGACAATTTCATAATATATGTGAAATTTTTGTGTCAATTTTCGTAATATCACTTTTGCTTAAATTACCCAAAGACTTTCTTATACGCACTATAGTTGAACCATCTGATATATGTATGATTTTGGGATATTCTATCCATCTCCAATCTAAGGAACAGAAAAAAAAATTTCTAGAGCAGTGGCTTTCAAATATTTTTGGCCACAACCCATATTAAGAAATATATCTAAAAACAGAGACCTACATTTATGTGTGGATAGGCCTTATTTTAACACACAATTTTTAACAATATTTTAACATCTGTGAAAGAAAAGTCTATCAATTTTCAATCAACAGCTTCTTACAATTGCCACTGGTCATTCCTTTTCATTACCATCCTGACATTAGCATGCTTCTCACAATGAAGAGGAAGCACCTTAGGTTGAATTAAAAGTGGTATATATAGCAAAAACCAAAGGTTCATGAATTATTTACCTATACTCTGATATTTATTATTGTTTTATCTTATTACAACAAATGTTGGTTGAAACTTGTTAAATTGATTTCTCCACCCACTCTTGGGCCCTAAATCACTTTTCAAGGATATCCCTTTATATAATGTTATCATAATTTCTCCTTTTTTTAATGGCAACTTCCCTGGATGAAAGACATTGGATGTTACTCTACCGCTAAAATAGTGAAAGAAATCACTCCATGATGCTGGCAGTTGAGGGTTAGAATTAAGAAATGAGTTGCCAAAACCGGTTTGGCTCAGTGGATAGAGCGTGGGCCTGCGGACTGAAGGGTCCCAGGTTCGATTCCGGTCAAGGGCGTGTATCTGGGTTGCGAGCACATCCCCAGTAGGAGATGTGCAGGAGGCGGTTGACCAATGTTTCTCTCTCATCGATGTTTCTGACTCTCTGTCTCTCTCTCTTTTCCTCTCTGTAAAAAATCAATAAAATATATTTTAAAAAAAAAGAAACGAGTGCCTCATCTCTTAACATCTATTCCAAATCTTATCCTCCATGAAAGCTAGAGTTGTACTCTGCCCTGTTGGATGTTCCTAGTTTTTAGCTGTTGATACCATAATCACTATTCACGGGTTGACAAACATCTACATTTGTATATATTCACAGCAAGAAAGAGTGACTATGACATAATTATTTCCATATTGAAACAAATTTGAATGAAATTAACTTGGACAACCACTTGGATGTTAGAGTTAAAAAGATGCAGAATTCTAACAATACCAGCAAGTAGTGATGTCTATCAAGAATGTACTATGTATTGCGCTGCTCTCTTTATGTTATCTTAGTTGAGTGGCTGCATAATTGCTTTAGTAAAGATTCCCACTCCAGCTTTTGGAAAAATTTATCTTCACAGATGGGAAAGTTCTCAAAACTTTAAACCTCAACCATATACAACCTCATGTGAAAGAAACTATCTTTCAACCTCGCTGTGGTAAACAAAGCAGACATGGTTTCCGCTGTCAGGGAACACGTTTCAGCTTAGTGGGAAAAACAGACAATAATCATAAACACCTAGGTAAATAGATCATTACAAACTGTGACCTCTATAAAAGACAAACAGATGACACTATGCAAGAAAAATCTCATGGATATTAATTAGGCAGTTGCATAAAGGAAGGTGTATGAAAATACTTATAAGCTTAAGTTCTAAAATATTTCATGCTAATAATGTTAAGACTACATCAAATTATATATACAAATCATGTAAAGCATGATCAGCACTATGTCCTTATTAAGAAACAGCATTAGAAATTCCCTTTCTCCCAGCTTGCATTCGCCCCCTCCCCTAATCCAGAAATAATAATAATTATCATTTTTAAACATATCTTTATTGGTTTCAGAAAGGAATGGATAGATAGAAACATCAATGAGAGAGAATCATTGATCGGTTGCCTCTTGATTGTCCCTACACTGGGGATCGAGCCCACAGCCCAGTAATCAAACTGTGATCTCCTGGTTCAAAGGTCAATGTTCAACCCCTGAGCCATACAGGCTAGGGCAGAGATAATTATTGAATTATAATTTGTAGTAATCATTTCCTTATTTACTTTAAAGTTTTACACCTATATATGTACTCATAAAAAATATATTAGCTAATTTTGCTTGTGTGTGGGTTTTGCATAAAGGTAATGTATATTCTTCTGCTTCTTTTGCTTGACTTTTTTTATACTTATTTGTTGTATATTCTGTTTTCATCCATTTTCATTGTTGCTCGGTATTCTCTTCTATAATTGGAATTATTACTTCATTCTACATCAACTAATGAATGTTTGTGTTGTTCCAGATTTTTTTAATATTGCAACAACGCACCTATGAACATTCTTAGTACACACATTCTAACATTTGTCCAGGTCATATAGAGTGTCCCAAAATTAACGCAAGAAGTGATTTTGTTAGAAAACACGGGTTTATAATTAAAAATTGTACATTTTTTATTGATTCATAAAGTATACAGTATAGGGGTATGTATGGAATAGCACCTCGGGTAAATGGCCTCCACAGCTTTGCTGGCACATACCCAAAGCTGTGTTCTTCATTGGTCTTCATTCTCCCTGCTCCTGGGCCATAATTGGTTCTTGGTAATGCTTATCTAATTGAAGGGATTGAAATCAAAGGACAACAGATATTAGAATCTGATTCAATAAACCAAGTAAAATTAGGCTTTTATTTTTTGTTGTTGTTGTTAATGCTCACGCAAAATTCAAATCTCGCGTGAATTTTGGGACACCCTATATAACTGTGAAAATGCTGGGACATAGGGCACACATGTGCTCGACTTTTGTATGTGCTATTACACTGTTTTCCAAAATGTGTGCAGCAGTTTCACTCCAAACAGTAGAGATGAGCATTCCTTGCTCATGACTGTTGCCAATAGTAGCTGTTGATTGTGCCATGTAAGCATGTTAAAATAACCAGGGTGATTATTAAAATGATAGAGATAAATTTATAACTTCCATACAAGTAGAAGGGAAAAAGAGAAAGAGGAGACACACATACATAGGCCCACATGCACGTATATGCGCGCGTACATACACACACACACACACACACACACACACACACACACACACTGCAATTTAACGCTTCAGAAACTATCCTTAATCTGTGGATTAAGCCAAAACTGGAATTTCACCTGGATTTTATACTTGCTCAGTTCTTTCCCCTTCCATATTCTCATTAATTCTCTCCTTTATAGTACTCTTCCTTCAATAAAATATACTTAACTAGGATGCTGCAGTTTGATTCTCCATCTGTCCAGGCACATGCCCAGATTGCAGGCTCAGTCCCCAATAGGGGGCAATGATGATTCTCATCATTGATGTTTCTTTCTCTCCCTCTCCCTTTCTTTCTCTGAAATCAATAAAATCTTAAAAAACAAAAAATAGTTATCTAAATCTGCATCTCAAGCTCTACTTTCTAAGGAATCTAATGTAAGACAGCCTTTTATTTATGGAGCCTTAATCATGACTACTTTCTATTCTATATCTAATATATGATGAATTTACAGTTCTACTTATGTTGGTTTTCACATACAATATTCTCATTGTTTTTTAAACCATATTTTTATTGATTTCAGAGAGAGGAAGGGAGAGGGAGAGAGAGATAGAAACATCAATGATAAGAGAGAATTATTAATCAGCTGCTTCCTGCACATCTCCTACCAGGGATCGAGCCTGCAACCTGGGCATGTACCCTGACCAGGAATTGAACCGTGACCTCCTGGTTCATAGGTCGACACTCAAACACTAAGCCACACTTGCCGGACATAGATTATTAATCTTAATTCAATTGCCATGATAATTTCCTTCTATTACTTAATGCAACATATTCACATGTTCAGGAGATTAAGACAAGGACCTCTTTGGAAGTTACTATTTTTCTTATGGAAGGAAGGAGGGTAGAAAGGAAGGAAAGAAGAAGGAAAAAAATTGACAATTCAAATCTGAATAATAATAGTTGGGATTCTCTCTACTTTTGTTAATATTTGAAAATTAAGAACAAAAAACAATAAATGGTAATGACTTAAATGAGACTCCATCCAGGACACTTGCCTCAAAATTCATGATTTTAATAAGATCATGTTTACAATCCCACCCACCACACATTCTTATGATGGAAACAATCCTTTCAGCCCATACATATCAATATGAGGAATCTAATGAACAAAATAAAATGATGAAGAAAGTAGACCCAAAGATATAGAAGCAAGGAACAGACTGATGAATCTCAGAGGGAAGGGGGGCAACAGGAAGTGATTAACTAAAGAATTGACATGCATATGTGCATTGCCCATGGACACACACAGTAGTGTGGTGAAGGCCTGGAGCAGTGGTTCTCAACCTTCTGGCAGGGTCAATGGGAAAAAAAGGGTACATCTGTATAACTTTCCACATTAAAGATAATTTTTTTTTAAAAAAATCAAAATCTGAAGGACTAGCTCAGTGGTTCTCAACCTTCTGGCCCTTTAAATACAGTTCCTCATGTTGTGACCCAAACATAAAATTATTTTTGTTGCTAGTTCATAACTGTAATGTAAATATCTGATATGCAGGATGGTCTTAGGCGACCCCTGTGAAAGGGTCGTTTGCCACTGCCCAGGGGTTGCGACCCACAGGTTGAGAACCTCTGGCCTAGAAGGTAGTGCTGGTGGAGGAAGTCAATGGGGGGGAAAGAGGGACATCTGTAATACTTTCAACAATAAAGATACATTTTTAAAAAAACTCTTAGAAAAAATCACATATGCTGTTTTTCAAAACTTACACTTCAGCTCTAATTGTAGTTTTGATCTAGTACTGAAAAAAATGTAAAAGAACGTTTTGAAATAAATTTATCCTTTGTGATCAAGTAGATGAAATAATACTTTTAAAATAAATGCTCACCAAAAACTACTCCCTTTCCATCTCCTAAGTCACATATAATAGTTGAAAATATGAGAACCTAAGCCACAAATAAATAAAAAAGTGTGTGTCCATAATTTTCTTATAGTGATTTTGAAAGGAGCTTTATATCTTACACTAGAGGCCTGGTGCATGAAATTTGTGCACTTAACTACTAGAGACCTGGTGCACGAAATTCACGCAGGGGGGGGGGGGTGGGGTGGGGGTGTCCCAGCCCAGCCTGCACCCTCTCCAATCTGGGACTCCTTGGGGGATTTCCAACTGCCAGCAGTCGAACATCCCTCTCACAATCTGGAACTGCTGGCTCAGAGCTGCTTGTCTGTCTGCCTGGCTGACTGCCCCTAACCACTTCTGCCTGCCAGCCTGATCACCCCCTAACCACCCTCCTGCCAGCCTGACCGACACCTAACTGCTCCCCTGCCAGCCCGATCACCCCCAACTGCCCTCCCCTGCTGGCCCGATTGCCCCCAACTTCCCTTCTCTGCTGGCCTGATCACCCACAACTGCCCTCTCCTGCCAGCCATCTTGTGGCTATGGGTGCCGCCATCTTTGAGGGCGTGATAGTCAATTAGCATATTCCCTCCTTATTGGCTGTGGGCATCACCATTGTTTGTGACAGTGTGAGGGTCAATTAGCATATTTCCTCTTTATTAGATAGGATCATATTTGTATACATATATTTTCTCCCTAACTTAATGTAACTTGCTTGGTGATATGGTTAATATTTTCTTTTTCTTGGGATGTCCCTCAGTTCTTAGCACTGAGCTAAATATGCAGTTAGCCTCTTACAGGCAGGTAATGAATGAGAAAGGTGCAGTTGTAACATGTCATATACGCTGTCCATGTTTACACTGAAGTCCCCTGTGAACTTTGTCTCAAAAGAGTAACTCATAGAAAATCCTGTATGATTGAGTCTGGTTCAGACCTGAGCCCACTAGAATACATCAGAGTTATGTAAAATATTAAGAATATGTAGCCCAATAGATACCTGTACTCCATAGGTAGAAATTAAATGTTTATTCTTATGTCGAGGTTGGAAATAATTCTAAAACTTTAAAAAGCAAGGGCATGTAATGTATTGGTTATGTAATTCACTATTATATGGCAGCCTCCTTGGCCTGTAGGCCTCAAAGACCCTTTCTCTGTATCCCACCCAGGAGCAACATTGAGAATGACTTCATTGTCTTAAATCAAATGAGAAAGATGCTTCAAAGCACAAATTCTCCTGAGAGACAAATAAACGAACTAACATTAGACTGCTGGGCCTTAGTTGGAATTTCAAGCACATATAATCAGAGTATTATTTTAGGTGAAGAGAATGTTGCATTTTTGTGCCAATATTTACTCAGCAGAGGTCTTACTTTCCTCTTTCCCAGTATGTGGGAGCTTTACTTCATGCAGTTCCCCTTGCTTTGTATTATTTTAAAACAACAGGCTTGTCAAGAATGGAGACAGTGCAGTGATATATGCAGAGTCTATGGAGGCATTTTCTCTATGGGTTAAAGTAAGTAGTTGGATCCAAGTCAGGACATGGATGCTACAGCTGGTCTGGGGGAAAAGTGGCAATTAAGAGGGGAAAAAAAAGAATAGAACGAGAGAATCACAGACATTCTTTTTTTAGGCAACAACAACAGAACCAGACTGTTTGAAACTGGTGACTCCAAATGTCACATTTTTCACTGAATTCTCAGTAATATTGCTGTTTCATAACTGTTCTTTGGTTGTATTAATGCCCACATTAACTTATAAAAAACTTGTTACATATATTTTTATGTACTACATTTGTTATCTTTCTCTTTTATATGTTTCTTTCTCTCAACAATCACTACTTCAGAGGATTGGAGAGAAGCATGTTAAAAGTGCAAGAACCCTTCCATTAATTGGCTTACAGTCCAGCCCACGTTGGCACAGTCATTGTGAGTAATCCATGCACTTCTGTGCTGTCTAACATCCAGTACCTATGTGATTTCCTATTCATTGGAAATGTTCATCTCCTTTAAAGATTTAAATGTATACTTGCATGAGGAAAATTAAAAATTAAATAAGGAACCTAGAAAACAATGTTTTAAAGTACTTTCTCTGAGGAAGTGGATAACTTATAATCATTTTAAGGGAGCAAAATTACTGTATACTAATCTATATTTCCAGGTAATATTAGTCATCTATCTCACACAAAAATTATAGTGCATGAATAAAAGTGGCATAAACATGGAAATATCCCCCCAAAATGATAAGGAATAAGAGCATAGGAAAGACATCAACACACTTTAAAAGCTGGAAAGTAGAGGGACTGACAGAAAAATGAAGAAAGCTGAAGTATAACTCCCTGTGCGACAGGGGAGGATATCAAAAGAGTATTAATCTGATCCAGTTCAAAGACCCATTGAAATGCTTAGGAATTGGAGGTATCAGCTATTTCTGGAGGCCAAGATGTGTGGTGGAATAGAAAGCAGGTGGTTGAAAGTCTGTACATTTAGCAGTTGGACCCAGATTGCTTTCTCCAGTCTCTGCAACTGTAAATTGTGTCTTCCCCACATCCACAAAGGCAAGAGTTTACTTTCTAAAAAGAATAAATTTGTACAGTTCTAGGCTTTGGTACATGAGGGTGGCCAAGGAGATGGATGAGTCATCTGACTGAAATTAGAGTGATGTAGCCAAATGTTGCAGGCTAGGTGGCGACAACCCTAACTTCTTCCCCCTACTTGGCCCCCAAGAAATTATATCCAGCCCAGCACAGGAGCACGAATATAAATTACTCTCTGGGAAAACTGTTCTGCCTAATTGAAAAGAGCTACAAATATTTACATGGATCTCATTGTGGTATAATGCTGCCCGCCAATCAAAAATTCTGCCCCTACACAAAATGCTTGCAATGCTTTAAAGAGCTACAGTTTTATAAATGAACTAGAGGCCCAGTGTATGAATTTGTGCACCAGAGGGGTTCCTTAACCTGCCCTGTGGCTCTCTTGACATCCCCTGAGTGGTCCCAGATTGCAAGAGGGCACAGACCAGGCCAAGGGACCCCACTGGTGCACAATTAGGGCCAAGGAGGCAGGGGGGGACTGTGGGAGGGCTCCAAGGCATGTCCAGCCAGTCTCACTCAGTCCCAATTCGCTGGACCCCAGCATCAAGCTAACCTACCGGTCTGAGCGTCTGCCCCTTGGTGGTCATAGCGACTGGTTGAACGGTTGAACAAACGGTCGGACACAGCATGCTAGGCTTTTATTATATAGGATGGACACAAACTATCACCAGACAGAAAACAATAATATTTAAAATGCAGGATAGAATCCAAAAGAAATAAAGAAAACAAATAATATAATGAAAAAAGAGAGAAGGGGGAAAAGATATAATTAATATATTCCAAGAGAAAAGAAAACCTATGGAACAAGGACCCAATACACTTAAAAAGGTATAGGAAATGAGAAAAAGCTCTTGAAAATTAAGAATATGATATCAGAAATAAAAAATTTCAAAGGAAATTTTGGAATCTGAAATTGAAGATCTCAAAAAGTAGAACAAAAAAGATTCAATAATTAAAAAATTAACACTAGAAGTCAACATCTGTCTAATGATAGCTACAAAATGAGAGAGTAGATAAAATAGAAAAGAAAAAATTACCAAAACCTGAAACTCTTCCCAAGAACTTCTCTTAAAACATGTTATGTTTTCAGAAGAGGGCTCATGACTAATAAACATAATCTTTATTTTTTTACAAAATACAAATCACATGATGGGAAAAATGTAAGACACTAGAGATAAAAAGTTTATAAAACACTTTTAAAATATTAGCAATCATAATGATATAAATATTCTCACTACCAACTCTGAAAGATACAGACAAATGAAAGACGCTTTTAAAATTCATATGGAGAATTATTGCCAACAGAGAAGTCCATGGCAAGCCAAACTATCAATTCAATGTGAAGGTAGACTAAGGATATTTTCTGGTGAGAAAAATTTTAGAATATTCTCTTCTCATGTATTACTTCTCAGAAGCTACTGGAAAAGACTAAGCTGCAAAAATGAAGGCAATGGAGCAATGGAATTCCCAATCTGAGTATGAAGAGAAGGCTCATGTCCCATGAAAACGGCAGTCCATCAGCCCTGAAGGGGATCTGCTCCGAGAGTTCCAGAAAATAAATAAGTAGGTTCTCTCTCTCTCTATCTCTCTCTCTCTCTCTCTCCCTCTCTCTCTCTCTCTCTCAAACTGATGAAATACCTAGTGCCTGATATGTTTCAGCATTGTGAGAAGAGTTTTAGATTCTCTCAGAACAAATTTGAGATGCAAATTAGTACAGGAACAGTATTGAGCAAATGTAAAAGAAGGCAATTATTAACTAAAAAGTAAGATTCTACAACAAAGGAAAGATTATCAGAGTAAAACATATAGTAGAGATTATATACTCTGTATTTCTCAATTTAATGTTACAAAAAATGCTATGTTTTCATTATATTTTAACATATGTTCCTATTCTTTCATATATACACAACACCAGCTGTAAATAATATTTATGTAGTTATAAACATGCAAACAATGAATATTGATGTAATCTAAATCACAATTTCACTATATTTGGAGATGAGGGAAGAGAAAGTGTATTTGCGTGCATGTGTTTGTGGGCTGTGGGGAAGGAGATCTATAATGACTAAACCTTTAATTTTCACAGTAGGAAGAAAAATAATGTTGCCATTTTGAAGTTTAAGAAATTGCAATAAATTCATGTTATTTAAAAATATGGAACTAAATATAAGCAGAAATAGCTAAAATAATTGAGAGCTGTGGCTATTGGTTGATAGGAATTAAAGCCATGGGTCAGTGGGTCAGAGGACCACTGTTTGGAGCATAAAAATTGAAACATGGATAGAATTTTACTGTAAGGATTAAGTTCACAGACTCCGAAAACAAAATATAGGGTTGAAATACTAGCTCTAGTACCTACCAGTCATGTGACCTTATAACTTAAATGTTCAACGCCTTAATTTTCTTCTTTGTATAATTAGACAATTATGTACTACCTCATAGAACTGTCACACAGATTAAATAACTTAATACATAAAATCATTTAAATAATACGGGGCACACAGTATCATTACTGTCAATACTGTGTAACTGTGAACTATTTACACAAATTACTTTGATTAAAAAATCACAAAGAAAGCATAGCACTTTGTATGATATATGGAAAGTAGTCAAGAGATGAAAAGAATCATTATACTCAAAAACTAAAAATTGATGAATAGTTATGAATGAAATAAAGCTAGCATAAACTACTAAAGTATGTTTCTTATTATCTGACATCTAAACAAGAGCATTTTATTAATCATACTGAATTATGAAAGATTAATCTGTGTCCACTGTAATTATCAGTATATGAACATGGTGCCCAAGATATAAATTAAAATAGGCTTCTAGAAAATCAGAATCTCATTCACTGAAAGGAGTAAAGATGATAAACTTGATCTGAAACTAATAATTAATGTTTGTCAGAGGCTAATTAATATTTACACTAATTATTTCTTCTGTTCTGCTGAACACTGGTCATATATCTGCTTT